GACCCCAGGTGTCCCTCCCCAACTCACAGTCTGCCTTGTTGCAGAATACAATTGAATTTTACTTTGAAAAGGCAACAAGGCTCTCAACAGCTTCTCACTGATAAACCCCAGAGAAAACACAAAAGTCTAAGAGGGATGAATATTTGACTTTAAATTGGAAGAGATTTTTATAAATCATTTTGCATCTGTTCTTAAAACCAACAGGAGAGGTTGACAGGCTGTCACATGCGACCACAGAATCAGTGCCCAAAACACATACAGTTAGCATAAATATGTAAAGTAGGCTGGGTATAGGAAGAGGAGAAATGCTATCCTTCTGCTGCAACTAATATTAAAAAACCACCATTGGAACCATTAGAACAAGATCAATAAAACACGGCCCTGGGGCATCACATCTCTAGGGCTGCATGCCTCAGAAAGGGAATGGGAATCTACGCAGCTATCAGAACTTCTGGCTGCACCTTTTATTAGTTGCATAACATTGGTCAATTTGCATCACTTCTTTGGGTTTTAAAGGCCTCAACTATAGAATATAAAGACCGAACCAGAAGAAACTTAAGGCCATTTCTGATAACATATAATTTCAGAGTTTAGTATATGCTCTACACTTTACATACACTATACCTGACAACAAGGAAGCAAGATAACCATTATAATAATGATTTTACTATAGATTTCATAGATGAGAGATCCAAGGCTCAGAGAGAGTGGGTACACCTGGCACTCAATCCCAGATCAGTCTGCTTCCAAACCCCGAGCTGTTTCACCCTATAGTATTTTCCACTGTGTGTCTAGGGAGCCATGCTTAATTGGCTGCAGGGAAGCAAGAGAGTAAAAACTTACAACCTAGCCTAATCCAACCACCAAATCAGCAGGAAAAATGCAGAAAATTGTATTCAACTAAAAAAGGCAGAGAGGTGAGAAGAAATAAAGGAAAAGAACAGTAAACAAAAAATATGAAGTCAGTACTTATGATAACGGTACATGGAATAAATTACCTACTAAAAGGCTTACGGACCCTGTTTCTTTCCATCTTCTGTTCTGCCTCTCTGTGTCATCTTTGTATTGAGCCTGGTGTGCCTCAAGGTCATAGGATAGCTCCTAATGCAATTGGAGCTGCGTGCCTCCTCATTCAAATCTGATGAGAGACAGAGAGAGATTTTGTCTGAGCATTTCAAACAATAGTCCCAAACCCCTGAATCAATGACCATGGCTAGGAAAGAATGACTCAAGCTAACCAGGGCCCAATCTTTGACTTATAAAATACTGTCTTTGATTTATGAGATACCAGCTTCTCCCCTTTCTTCGTACTTCACTGACCTTGCTTCTTCATTCTTTCTTACTGACTCCCAGGGTCAACTTCAAGAGTGTGTGACAAATGCAGTCACACAGGCCCCACCTGGTTTAATGTTCTACTGTCATTATCTGGAAATTCTTAAAAAGTTTTGAACAAGGGGCCCCACATTTTCATTTTGTAGTGGTTATGCAAATTATGTAGCCAATCCTGTTAACAAATCCTCTTCCCAATCTCTGTTTTAGAAGCACCTTTAGGATTGGTCCTGGACCCTCTTCCTTTCTTCATTAGCTCTTTATGTTCTTGCCTAGGTGAATCATTTCTATGGCTTTAAATATCATACATGTATATGAAATAATCCCAAAGATATTATTTAGCCCAGACCTCCCCACTGAGCTCCATCTGCTTATATCCATCTTGCCATCTTGATACCTGAAACTGGAAGTCTAATGGAAACCACAAACTTAATATATCAAACATAGACCGTTTTATTTCCTCCCCCGAATATCCATCCTCTCCTGTACTCACTATACTCAAACCTCTTGGATAAACCTTTTACTTGTACACTTGCACACACTATCTCCCTGTCCTGACTTGAAGCATTTGTGCCTCTTATTCCCTCTGTCCATCAGAAAGTTTGTACCAGTTTACACTCCCCCAAGCAATCTGTCATAAGGCCCATTTGTCCACATACTGACCATGACAGGGTATTTTTTCTAGCCATTTGATAGGTAAAAAAATGGTTTCTTATTAATGTCTTATTTTCATTCCTTCAATTATTAAAAAGGTCAATTAACATTTGCCTTTCTTCTTTAATGAACTATCCTTGTTCACTGTGTCCATCTTCCTAAGAGGAGTAGCTTATTAATTTCTAAGAGTCCATTATATATTAAAAATATAAATTGTCTCAATAAGTGTTACAACAAACCTGGACAAGGAAGGACAAATCATTCAGAGTTTTCAGTGTAAGGTAAAGCATGGTAGAAGTAATAGGAATGTTCTTGACCGTGGGAAAATAAAGATCTAAAGGAAGAATGTTGAAGGTTAAGGAAAAACCTAGGTGTAAAGGCCCTGCTTAGGAACTTAACTTTACATGTTTGACAGGTGGGTCCCTATGTGGTTGCCACTTGTGCATCAAGACTGTGAATAAATTCTACATGGACATGCGTTAAGAAATGGGTTTTAGTGGGAAAAATCTACGAAGTCATGGTTAGCAAGAGAACAGGCAGGGGCCCCCACATAGTTCCAGAGAGGCAGGCCATGGATGGGGACTCCGGGGGACCCAGTTGAGATCCAACTGAAGGAGTCTGTCCCATTGTGTCTCTCCCGTCATACAAAAAGGTTAAGTGTAACAAAGCAGCTCTGTCAGGCTGGTGGATGCCAGTCTGGCTTGGGGGCAACTTAGACTAGGTACCAGTGAAAATAGCAGTCGCCAATGTATATATTAAGACACTTAAAATGTGCCGATAGATTGGCTACAACGAGGGAATGCAGAGAACTAAGGATGACTCCTGGGTTTTGTTTTGAGCACCTGGTAGGCAGTGGAACTCTTCGCTAAGATTGGGGAAGAGTAGGGAAAAAACAAGTTTAAATGACATAAAGCTTCAAGCCTCGGTGAGTGGAAGAACAGTCACTGCCACATGAGGTTTGGAAGTGGGGAAGTAGAAACGTGCCTGAATTCCGTATCTGCCACGTTGTGTTTGAGAAAGTAAGCTATTTCAGAAGTGCTCCTTAGGTAACAGTTATTTCAACTCAACAACCTTCAGAAAGGTGAAGTTTGAAGGTAAGTTAAGATTCTGAACATCCTTGATTTAAGAACACAAAATTCATTTCCAAAGATCACAAGTACAATTATACTTCTAGAATTGTCTATTTTAACAAACTCAGTGCTCTCTATAACTGCTAATATTAAGTCCTCTGATTCCTCACTTCTGCAGAGGGATCATCAGACTGTGAACCTGTTTCTATTGAGATAGGAAGATAAGGAAAACTCACATAAGCAACCTAGCCAATCTAAGATCTTTTCTGTGACCATTATTCCTTATTAAAATATGAGCATATATTCATTTATTGAGCAGTTACCGTGTGCCAAGGACTGTGCTAAATGCAACATATGCATTATCTCATAATCTCACCTTTACAACCCTATGAGGTAGCCAGGGTATTGGTATTAGCCAGGGTAACATCCAGTCCACACTGGTATTAGAATCCAGACAATCCAACCTCTCTGCTTTTTAAAGGTGGCAGCCGTTTCATCCATCTCTGGGTCCTCCAATAGTACTGATCACAGTTCCTGGCCTATGGGAGATGGCTTTAGAAAGAGTTGAATGAGTGAGTTAATTTCTGTACTCAATTTCCTCTCAAACTAAGAAAAACTATAATTCAGAACAGAAATAAAAGTAAATAACTGCTTTTACCTGCCTCTTCATCTTTGGCTGGAGAGTAGAATTGATACAAAGGCCATCTGCCTCCAGAAATAGGACTGTCAACAATCACCAGGAGAGGGATTCAGGTAGACTCAGAATGAGGAACCCACAGCTTCAATGTTTTTCTCCAGTCCATTGATATTTGAGAAAATCATATAATTTTTAAACTGTTGTAATTCTATTAGTTTCCACTTTGGAAAAACTCAGCCTATTTTAGACATATGGTTCAAGAAATGTTTACTTTAGGGGAAAAAAAGCTTAAAACCTTCTTGCATGTTTCATCATCCTTTTCCATGCCCCCTACTCACTTTCCTTCTCTTAGGTTCTTGCTGTTACTACCAGATACACTGCCTCACTAAGTCTCTCAGCCTTAGTAAACAAATCTTTCACAGCCTCTCCTTAAATCAGATTATATTCTTTTGCTATGTTCAACCATTTAAAAATTTTTTTCAGCTCCATCAACCATTTTAAATTATGCAAATTATAAAATTAACAACTATGACTTCTGAGTGCTTACTATGTACCAAGCATCATTCTAAGAACTTTACATGTATTACCTCACTTAATCCTCAAAACCGTACTGTTGTCATTTTACAGATGGAGAAATTAAAGCCAAAAAGATCATCAATGTAGGAGCTCGAGTTAAACTGCAAAAATACAAGATTTGCTGGTAAAGAGTAAAATCTTTATTTTGATTGTTTTAATGGTTAAAATTTGCATGTTTCCTAGACAGCCTCAAATAGGATAAAAATAATTACAAAAAAGGCAAGCTTTCTGATAATTCAAATTAACTATAAAATTAAAATATCTAATTATTCTTTTATAATAACATAAAATATGTAATACAAACTTCAATAAGCTGATTCTATTATGCAATTATTTACAAACTCTAAGAGCAAAAGATTTAGCTAAACAGAAATTAAAAAAACAAGTATGTTCTCAAATAATTTGTAAGTAATCTATTCTTTGGAGTAGAAATACTCATTTAATACAGTATGTTAATTATACTGATTTTTAGTTACACCTTCTTGGTGTGAATTCAGTACAATTTAAATTTCTGTGTGCCTGGAAAATACAACCACCATTTTAAAAAACTATTAAGAATTTGTAACAGTTTAATATTCATATGGATATCTCACCCTCCTTAGGTGTAGAATTTAATGGTATTTTTTTTGATAAATGTAACTTATTACAATGTAAAGTATTTTCCTTTCCAAACTACAGTTTTATTTTGTTATATATATGACAATGTTATACACCAGTAAACAAAGCAAGCAACATTACTTTTTTTAAATAACATCTTTAATTAAAGTTTTTGCAAAGGTAAAATATTAAACTTAAAATAGGTCTTAGTACATCAAAATACTAAGTTCTCTAATTGTATTCCAAGATGGTCTTTAAAACATAATATCTCATATATCACAGAAGAGCAACCTTGATCTGCAATTGTACAGAATGAATTTTACAAACATAATAAATATATTTACGCCCTTACACATAACAGTATGTACAACAGCAGTTGACAATAGTAGCTCAGAACAGCAAAAAGGATTAGCCCCTCCCCCCAAATTGTAGCCCTGACGCATACTGGATTGGTTTAAGGAAACTTGACTGAAATAGTAGTTACTAACTCAAGGTAGTTTCTTCCCTTAAAAGAGAAGAAAAAAATTTTTTCTTGTTCCTCAAAATAAACAAAAATATGAAGTCTGGCGTATTCTTCCTTAAACCATAAAAAATGACAAAAGATAGACTAAGGCAGGCTTAAAAAGGGAATATAAACCTCAGAATAATTTCCATAGCATAATAGATTAAAATGCAAAACTATTTAACATAAACCCCATGAGGAAATATATGAAGCAACTTTTTAAACCACTGAATTCAAAATCTGAAATAGCTGATTCAGACAGATAGGTGGGAGATAGACATATGAATTAAAATGAAAATGTACAAAGATGGATCAATTAAAATATTACATTGCACAAAAGCTCAAAAAAGTTCAAGATGAAATAATCTGAAAATATAGGAATTTTCTCAACTGGAAGAAAAAGCTAATTTATAAAGGGAACTCCCAAGAGGAAATTATGTCTGTTTTCCTGTACAAGGTGTATCTACCTTCTGAAAAAAATGGTGATATTATTGCTATAAGATAATCAAAAATTACTCTTAGAAGGAGACAACCCTTTTCATTTCTCCATAAAAGCCAGAAAAAATAAGAAAACCAAATCCTTGATTTTCACTATAGTAAAAGAAAATCTTTATACAAAAGCTATTATATTTTTATGTTCTTGCTGTCTAAAACCAGAATCTTGTTAGAATACGCTTTTCAAGAACACATTTTAGTCACTATATATACCGTTCAAATCCTGATGTATTCCAAGAAGAATAACATCAAGTTGGCTTTGATTTTGAGACGCAACAATATATATGTGATATTATGATGGCATTTAATTAACACAAAGAAATGTGAACATTTAAAAAAATATAAAAGCTCAATATATAAAGATCCCCCTCATATAACAGACATTTTACTCTAAAAACTAATTGCACATTAAAGAGTTGTTTTAGCCAAATGTGGCGCTCCAGAGAAATAAATGTGCTCTCAGGCATTCAAATGGTCTGATTATCCAAATGACCACCAAAAAAACTACATACACTGAAAGGCACAAATTTCCACACTTTATCTAGTACTTTTGTGTAAATTTTCCTTAGCATTGCTGATTGTTAATTTTTTTTTTAAATAAAAGGTGCCATCATCATCTGTGCAAATCTAAACAAATCCTCTTCGTTTCTGAAACCTTAACTTACTTCATAATACCAAGTCTGAACTATTTTCCCGCTTTGTATAAACATGTTATCTTCATTTTAAAATTCTGAAAGTGGAAATCCTTGCCTTTTCAAAGGAATGACATTTTTATGGAAACTAATGAAATGATTTGTTAAACAAAATGTTAAAAGCATGATTAAGAATTCAAGTACAATAAAAGCAAGTGGCATTCTTATTGCAAGCCACTATAATAAAACTAAAACATGCTATTTGAATAGAAAGGAACACGATGCAGTAATATATAAGAGCACAATTTGGTATGCAGTGCTGTTTGGACCAGCTTTCAGAATTTTCACAAGTAAAAGAAAAGCATTTGCCAAGTATGCCATAATTAATAAGCAATACACAGGTGCAAGTACAAATGGTTATTTCCCTAGTGAGTCACTCTCAAAGCATTGGTTGTTCATGTTGGAATATAACATTATTAAAAAAAAAAAGCCAGTATACAATTTTATTATGGAAACAAATGTTTATCTATATAAAGGGCCCAAAACATGAGCTGAGTATCATATAGTAATCCAAAGTTCAGTAGTATAAGAACTACTAGACAGCCTAAGGGTTTCCATCAACACTGCAGCACTGCTACTTTTATAGGTAGTTCAGGTCATTGGCTTCTTCACTGGGTAAATATAAACCTACTAGCAACTATACTGAAGGACAACTGAGTAACAGGGCTTCTGTGATTTCATCACCTTCTCTCTCTTCTCCCAGTCTCAATAAAAACAAAAAAACCCGTGTGCTTTGATAGTAGTGGGGTTAACAAATAAACCTCCAAAAAACTAAATTAATATAGTAAAAATAAAAACCGTATTTACCAGTTATGGCATCTAAATAAAACCTAACTACTAGCATGCTAGAAACCACCATTTACACCAAAGTTCAGAGCATAAGTTAAAGGAACCTAGTTGGTACATGGGATGGGAAGTAGGAAAAAAATTTTTTGATTAGCCTTCTTGAGAAGTTTAAAGCTTTGTGTGAAAAAAAGAAAAAACAATATATAACAGCTCACAGTTTTTCTTTGCAATGTACTTTAAAGTGTTTCTGTGTTAACTTCTGAAAACACACACAGGGGCAAATAAAAGGAAGACAAAAATGGAAGACTTAGAAAAAAAATCAATATGCAAGTAACTTAAACACATGTGAATTCTGTCAAGATAAACCATGAAAAGAATTAGTTTTAAGAACACAAAGGTGAAAAAATGTGTTCCTACAGTTATCCCAGGTAGCTTGTTCACACTGAACACAACTACATTATTCTTTAGAGCCCATTACAGAATACAGAGCAATGCTCTCTTAATACACATATTAAATTTCTACTTTTTTAAATATACAAGTCAAATTTCTATGCTTTCTTCCCGGTGTGCAAACTGGAGCCCATGTCTATATTATCAACGGCCTGGAAGGGCCACCAAATGAAAGAGAGGTCAATATGTACTTAGTGGCCCACCCACTACTAACCCCAAAATTTCCCCCCAGATTACAAAGTTGTATTTTAAAAAATCTGTTTGATCAGAATAATAGTTTTTAAACTCTTTACTAGTAAACACAAGAAACTTTCATAATTACCAAATTGTTTAATAAAAATCCAAGTCCTCACCACCTGCCCAATGCTTCAATCAATGCACAGAATGTGAACTGAGTGTTTAACTTAGACTAAACACATATATAAGCATACACTTTAGCCCGATAGGAAAAAAAATCTGTATCTATGTATATGTATATCATTTCAGCTGGATGATACCTTTGTGCAATAAAACCGTATTCCTGAGGAGCCACTTTTGGGTTTCTTTTTAAGGTCTGGGACTAGAAGAAACAAATACAGTTTTTCTGTAAGGAAACTGAAACTGTCATTTCAATTCTGCTCAACTCAGATGAGACCCAACTCTTTACACTACAGTTAGTAGTGTGAGAATCTAATGAAAATAAATATCCAATTCTTGGGTCAAGTTCTGTCTCCAAACTGTGATCACTGATTACTTCCTAAACTCTTAAACAGATGTTTCATAAGGCAGGGAAGGAAGAGATACATTACCGAGGGAGAAAAGCAAGTAAAAATATTTAAGACCTATTATGAGAGTTCTCTATTGTTTCCTTATACAAGTGAGTTAAAATTCAACCTCATAATCTTTACCCTTTTGTAAAAAGCTCACACGCAATTTTTACCAAACGTAACCACATACAATAAGCAGTTTCAGTTCAATCTATCAAAAGGGAAATTTCTTCAGTTCATTCCAACCAGTATCTTCTGATTGAACCAAGCTGGAGGAAGGAATATAGACAAAGCTTTACATGCTAATTACCGATGGCAGGTACTTGTATTTAAAATCGACAATTATGGTTTTCCTACACAAAATCCCAACCCCCCACCCCAATGACCCCAGGTGCTACAGTTCCATGGCTTGCCAGTTAGAAGTAGTGTCTATGTTGTCAAGGTCTCTTTGTTCCAGTAGCTCTGCTTCTACTGTACTTTTCTGACATGCAGAAGTTAAGTTTTGGTTGGTGTATGTCCGAAGTTTCAAACTGTCCACTTTAAATTTTTTTTAAGTTTCTTTTGTTTTATTTATAAAAGAAAAGAGCCAACTCTTCACCATTCTGCATCTCCAATGGCTTTGGAAAAAATATAATCTCTTCCATTAAGATTCATAATGCCATCCTTGAGATGAAATTTCCATTTGTTTTTACTTCTGTGTATCTAAACAAACAAACAAAAGATGTTTGAGATAAAATCAAGACATGGGAAACAAACAACAAAAAGCCCTTCACACACCAAAAACCTTTGCCTTCTCCTTACATTTGCAAATTTGCTTCATTTTTTTTAATTGAGATAACTGACACACATTAGTTTTGGGTATACAACTCGTTATTTGTGTGTATTATGAAATGATCCCCACAGTAAGTCTAGTTAATAGTTAACATCCATCACCATACACAGCTACAAATTTTCTTCCAGTGATGAGGACTTTAAAGATCTTCTCTTAGCAACTTTCAAATATACAGTATTATTAGCCATAGATACCATACTGTAAATTATTTCCTCATAACTTATTTTATAACTGTAAGTTTGTATCTTTTGATCACCTCCACCCATTTCACCTACCTCCCACCCCTTGCCTCTGGCAATCATAAATCTGTTCTCTGTACTGTGAGTACACTTTTTTTTTTTGTTTTAGAGTCCACATATATAAGTGAGATCACATGGTATTGGTCTTTCTCTGACTTACTTCACTTAGCATAATGCACTCAGAATCCATCCATGTTGTTGCAAATGGCAAGATTTCCTTTTCTATGGCTGAATGAGATTCACATATCTCACATTTTCTTTATCTATCCATTGACGGACTTAAGATTGCTTCTGTACCTTGGCTATTGTAAACAGTGCTGCAACAACCATGGGGGTGCACATTTTTTCAAGTTAGCTTTTTCATTTCTTTTGGATAAAAAAATACCCTGAAGTAGAAATGCTGAATCATACGGTAGTTCTGTTTTTAATGAGCCTCTATATTGTGCACCCATTTACATTCAACCAACACTGCAAAAGGGTTCCCTTTTCTCTACATCCTCACCAACATTGTTAATTCTTGCTTTTTTAATAAACATTTCTAACAGGTGTGAGGTGGTATCTCGTTATGGTTTTGATTTGCATTTCCCTGATGATTAGCGACGCTGAGTGCCTTCTCATGTACATGCTGGCCATTGGGATATCTTCTTTGGGAAAACGTATATTCAGATCTTCTGGCCATTTTAAAATCATATTTGTTTTTGTTTGTTTGTTTTGCTATTGAATTGTATGAGTTCCTTATATACTTTGGAAATCAACTCCTTATTAGATACATGATTTGAAATATTTTCTCCCATTCTGTAGGCTGCCTTTTCATTTTGTTGATGGCTTTCTTTGCAGAAGTTTTTTTAATTTAATGTAGACCCACTTGTTTATTTTTGCATTTGTTGCCTTTGCTTTTGGTGTCAAATCCAGAAAAGCATCACCAATGTAAAGGAGCTTCTCACTTATGTTTTCTTCTGGGAGTTTTATGATTTCAGTTCTTACTTAAAGTCTTTCATCCATTTTGAGTTGGGTTTTGTGTAAGATTCATTCTTTTCTATGCGGCTGTTCAGTTTTCACAGCACCATTTACTGAAGAGACTGTCCCTTCCCCCATTTTATATTCTTGGCGCCTCTGTCATAAATTAAGTGGCTACATATGTATGGATTTATTTCTGGGCTCTTTTCTATTCCATTTATCTATGTACCTGTTTTTATGCCAATATACTGTTTCAATTACTATAGCTATGTAATATAGTTTGAAATCAGGATACACAATGCCTCAGATTTGTTCTTCTTTCTCAATATTGCTATGGCTATTCTGTGTCTTTTGTGGTTCAATAAAAATTTTAGGGTTGTTCGTTCTAGTTCTGTGAAAAAGGCCATTGGAATTTCGAGAGTGGCTGCACTGAATCTGAAAATTGCTTTGGGTACTGTGTACATTTTAACAATATCAATTCTTCTAATCTAAGAGCACTGGAACATCTTTCCATTTATTTGTGTCTTCTTCAATTTCTTTCATCAGTATTGCATAGTTTTCAGCGTACAGGACTTGTCCTTCATTTTCCTGGTTAAATTTATTCCTAGGTGTTTTACTCTTTTTGATGCAACTGTAAATGGGACTGTTTTCTTAATTTCTCTGATAATTCACTATGTATATAGAAACAGGTATTTTATATACTGATATTTGTATCCTACAACTTTACTGAATTCATTTATTACTTCTAAAAAATTTTTGGTGGAGTCTTTAGGTTTTGTATGTGTAATAATATCATCATGTCATCTGCAAGCAGTGACAGTTTCCATCTTCCTTTCTGACTTGGATGCCTTGTGCTTCTTCTTGCCCAACTGCTCTAGCCAGGACTTCCAATACTATGTTGAAGGAAGTGGCAGGAGTGGGCATGCTAGTTTTGTTCCCGACCTTAGAGAAAAAGCTTTCAGCTTTTCACCAGGAGTATAATGTTACCTGTGGGCTTATCATACATGCTCTTTATTATGTTCAGGTACATTGCTTTCATAACCACTTTGTTGACTTTTTATCATAAATGAATGTTGAATTCTATGAAGTACTTCTTCAGCATATATTGAGATGATCATGATTTTTATCCTTCGTTTGTTAACATGGTACATCACACTGATTTGCAGATGGTGAACCTTCCTTGCATCACTGGAATAAAACCTACTTAATCATGGCATTTATCTCATCATCTTTTTAATGTGTTGTTGAATTAGGTTTGCTAGTATTTTGTTAAGGATTTCTACATCTGTGTTCATCAAGGGATACTGATCTATGGTTTTCTTTTCTTTTGGCATCTTTGTCTGGTTTTGGTATAAGGTAATACAAACCTCACAAATTGAGTTTGAGAAGTGTTCCCTCCTCTTCTATTTTTTGGAAGAGTTTGAGAAGGATTGGTATTAATTCCTCTTGAAATGTTTGGTAGAACTCACCAGTAAAGCCATCTGGTCCTGGACTTTTGTTTGTTGGGAGATTTTTGATGACTGATTCAATTTCCTTACTAATAATCAGTCTGTTCAGGTTTTCTGTATCTTTATGATTGAGTCTTGGTACGCAGTACTTTGCTAGGAATTTATCCATTTCTTCTAGGTTGTCCAATCTGTTGGTATATAATTGTTAGCAGCAGCCTCTTACGATTCTTTGTATTTGTGCTGTGTGTTATCACTGTAACATCTCTTTCACTTCAGATTTTGAGTGCTCTCGTTTCTTGATGAGTCTAGCTAAAGGTTTATCAATTCTATCTTTTCAAAGAATCAGCTCCTAGATTCACTGATTTTTTTCTTATTGTCTTTTTAGTCTCCATTTACTTCCACTCTGATCTTTGTTATTTCCTTCCTTCTGCCAACTCTGGGCTTTGTTTGTTCTTCTTTTCCTAGTTCCTTCAGTTATCAAAAGTTAGGTTGTTTGAGATTTTTGTTTCTTGATGTGGGCATTTTGGCTGCTGCTGCATCCTGCAAGCTTTGGTATATTGTATTTCCATTGTCATTTGTCTCAAGTTTTTTTGTTTTTGTTTTTTGTTTTTTTTAGTTCTCTTTTGATTTCTTCTTTGACTCATTGGTTGTTCAGTAGCATATTGTTTTATCTCCAAATACTTGGGAATTTTCCACTTCTCTTCTTATAATCTCTAATTTCATACCACTGTGGTCAGATAAATTGGTTTCTTAATAAAGTTTAATCTGAACAAAACAAAACAAAAAAACAAACCCATTCACTCACGAGATGGGTTTTTAAAAAATAAACCTACCCAAAATTAGTATTATTTTATGGCTCTTGGCACTGTGTTCATTAAGGTAGTTAGTATTTCTCTGCAAAATATCTTATCTCTACCAGGTCTGCATATACACATGTCCGTTTTTCACAGGAAATTTTATACTGACAAATTTAAAACAGGAATACCCTTTGTTTTACCTGATGCATCTAGACTACTGCCTTGTCTTTTTCTCTGTTACTCCTTTTATGTCGGTACCATTTGCTCAACCTTAGGCTTGTCTTCATTCTTCTCATTACTGACCACCAGGACATTACCCCTCCTCAAAGGTGACATGTTTACAATCATTCTCTTCCTCTTCCTCACATATATTAACAACTTTCACATTGCTGACCTTGTGGTCATAGTATTAGTATTATATTTATATTATTATGAATGTCACTAGTAGTATTTCTAACCTCTAATTACTTTATCTTTAATTCTACTTTAGTTAACTTCAGGACACCTGGCAACTGAGGCCATCAATAATCTTCTAGTTATCGTATCAACAGCCTCCTGTCACATAATCCATTACAATAAACTTCTAACTGATTTCTAGGCCTTAACTCTCTCCTTCCTTCCACTCAGAAAGACTGCTGTCAGAAGCACACTTCTGAACAATCACTTCTGCTTGGTTGTTTCTAAATGACTTGGTAGTAACTCACCTTTCCAAACTCATTTCCTACTTCCACATTCCTCAAAAACTGTATTTCAATCAAAAGAATCATCCCTTCCTTCCATTTTTACAAATTCAATTCCTATTTCAAGACCCATCTCAAAAATATTGTGCCCTCCACAAAGCTTTCCCTAATTGCTCCACCTAAAAGGTACTCTTTCTTACTGATTAATTCTCAATGCATTCCCAGAGACATCTCTAGCCTCAGTGGAAGTATATATAGTTATGGACTTAACCTCTTCCACGAAAATAAAACTCCTCACAGCTTTCTCGAGACGTAACATGGAACCTTATACACGGCATCATTTAACAAATACATCTGAGGGAACGCTGATCATCTAGTCACTCAGAGTGGATTTCAAAAATTGGGTATATCCACAGTTAAGTCAACGGGGAAAGGGCAGAATTCAAATTGCGCCAGGTCCTGGGCACATCCTCCTCTGTCTTCATTTCTAGTTTTCAGTTGTTTACAATTCTGTGGATTCAGCAGAAAGAGGAGCTATAAAACTTAATCAACTGAAAAGACATTTCTTCCCTTTCCTAGAAAGTACTACTCATTATTCAATGTTCAGTTCAAGTTCCACACCTTCTTTTAGGGGAGAAAAAAAAAAAGACTCACTCTTCTTTGATTTAAAGAAATCTCAAAATCAAGTAGTTCTGGCTTTCATTTTCAAAAGAGGAAATTACAGCCTGGAGAGGTTCAATGACTTGACC